ATATCAATGAAAGATTATAATTAACCTCACTTCTGTTCTAATTTCAACTTCCAATTCCTTCAGAACATCTTCCAAGATACTCAATGGAGAATTACCATGTTAAGATGATCACCCCCTGTAAATTAACTCATGTAAATTTTATTAACTTGTTTGTAGTAATTTTACTTAAATAGAGAAACATTGACCTGCCCCCTTAAAAGTTTCATTTGCCTCCCTTTACTTTTAATAAATTTTATCAAATTAGGTACGTCGAAATGGCTTAGAAGCTAAAAAATTAGTTTCCTTCTTTACTTTTTTAGCTGGCCTTTATAGGTTTTTTTATCTTTATATATTTTAAAATTGTATTTCTTGAGAATGAACTTTTCCCCCACTAAACTAATTATTTTTTGTGTTCTCATTTGTATACGTTCCCGAGGGTGTAGAGGACAACAATAAGGGCAATATTTACAGCACAGCCCTTTAAATGTCCAAAAGGCATACTACGACCATTTTCAAAGAGATTTCTCATTGTTTCTCAAGTGTCGTTCTCAAGAACTTGTTGGAAGGGGTCGTATGGTTCTTACATTCTTAGGAAGAAGTTATAATGACCCATCAAACCATGAATCTAGCTACAACTTGGAGCTTTTACATACTTTTAAATAATCCAAGCCTTATTTATACGATTTTGTTCTGTTCATGTTGGTTTGATTTGATGTAATTAATTTGGATTGGTTTTGAATACATCTATGCATCTCTATCTAGTCTTAATGGGGACCACATGCATGCACTTGTATGATGAAGTAGCGAAAAGTCACCAGAATTTGTTTCAACTCTCAATTCACTCAGCAAACAGGGAAGGCTCATGAAAGCTCAAATGATGATAAAAGTTGAAACTGTATTCTTTTCACTTTCTTTTTCTGGAAACACCCAAAACACTCAAAAAGAAGATGATATTAAGAAGAAAGACTTTGAATGATTAAAAAAATTGTAGTATAAACTCAAATAAAATATACTCTAAACTACTAACTTTTTTGTTCTCTCTTTCCTCCTTCACACTACTCTTCTTTTTTACCTTCTTTCTCTTCCCTCTCTCCTATTTTCATCACAAGCCCTCACAACTTCTTCTCTCTTCTTTCTCATTTTACTACACAAATAACTTACTCAAATGTTCTATTTATAAATGTTGCTTAAAAGCTTCCTTTGCATTGTTTTAATCTCCAAGTTGTTATTTATTTTATTATTTTGTTTGGTGAGCGATTTAAATTAGTGATAATATTTAACATTACAGACACACACTAAAAATAAGGTTTAATCCGTTGTTTCTGTTTCGTTCTTTACAATTTAATTGCAATGGCATCTGCAATTTTTACATGCCTATTATATTTATATAAAAAGAGAGAACCAGTTTACCATGGAATATGTAAGCTTTCATTTTTTTTTTTCAACAACTATTTCTAATTCTCAAAATTTGAGATTAATCTATGCCATAGGGCCAATTTGGTCATTTCATAACAAAACTTATTGTCAAACAAGTAACTTGACAGTACTATGAAATTGGATATTATTGATGATGTTAGATTATTGTATCATAAAGAATGGGATTTAACTATCCATTATCTCTCTAGAAACCTTAATTTTTTTAATGCTGATAGGTGAGCTGGAATATCTCATAACTTAGATAACATTTTTTTTTTATTTTTGATCAACTGTCACCTTTTACACAAGAGGCGGTGTTTAATGAGAGAGACCCTCTTATAAATCATGATATGCTATAAACTTTGATTTTATGTTTGCACTTTTCAGTAAAAAAAAAAATACTACTATGAAATTGGCTATATTGGCATTTCAATATTTTGATGGGTCTTATTTGTCATTTGCCCAATTAAAAAATATCATGCTATATAATTAATATTTGAAAAATGAAAAGTGAAAATTACTATTGATAAGCTTCCCTACTCTCTCTTTTTCTCTTCCTGCCACACGCTTATTTAATTATTAGGGAGAATGACATCTAAGGGCTATAAAAATGAGATATTGATAATAGAGTCCCATAAAATTAGGTACTTGCAGTGCAATCCCTAAGAACTTTTTCAACATTACTTTTTAGAAGAATTTCATATAAAGACTAAAGATGTAACATATTTTTAAATTAAGGCCAAATTTTTTTATAATTTTTATGAGATGTCGAGCTTGTATTGAAATAAAATTATAAAACAAAATGACTAAAATATCCATGTTCTAATATGTCGCAATGAAGTAAAATAACATAAGGGAGTTAACAAGTAAATTAAAGTAAAATTATTAACAAATAATGTAATTGACTTTATGACTAACAGCTTAACAAGTAATAAATTTAACTCACTATATGGACTTCATGCTAGTTATAACATACTAGACATAACAAGTAACAAAAAAGAATTTAACAAGTAAAATAAAGCTTTTAATAAATAATATAATTAATTTTATAAGTTCTGATAATGATTTAACAAGTTAGGAATTTAAATCGTCGCTTAAACTTCTATTATTAATCAGTTATATTACTTATTAAATGATTTAATTTACTTATTAATTTTCTTACATTATTATGCTACAATATAATGAGAAGGATGTTTTAGTGATTTTACTTTATAATTTTGTTCAATTCAGCCAAAATATGTAACATTTATGGTCATGAAATTTTCCCTATTTAAAAAGAGGAAGAAACAAAAATAAGAAGAGAAAAGAAAACGAAACCGGGAAGGGAAACGGTGAAAGCTGAACCAAGACACGGCTTTGTGCTTCCTGCTTAACTACCGTCTTGCCTGGCATGAACATTCGCGTGCTTCTGTCGGCTTCAATTGTCCTCGTCCTGGCCATTTCGTCTCTTCCTCTTGTTGACCCCAAATGTATTGCAATCCCAACTTCCACCTCGCTTCAATTCGTCAGTCACACTCACACCCACTAATCGCACTTGTATGCGCTGACATTTAATATAATTCATGAGAAGTCAGTCATTTAATGTTCTGAATGTTGCAGATTTTCTCAGTTGGAGGTCCCCATTGTCTCCAGTAGCAGATTTGATTGTAAGAAATGGGGTCATATATACGAGCGATGACTCTCTCCTGTTTGCGGATTCCATGGCTGTGGGTAATGGAAGGGTTCTTCGTGTTGGGAATTATTCACTTATTCAGGTTCCTCGTATTTCACGTTCTTATTTGTGGAAATAGTAAGTTTGTTTAAACAGTGTTGTAATTTTTACTTGTGCACTTCAGTTGTTGCTGTCCCTAGATGTGTTGAAAAAACTGTATGTAGGAGCTGGCAGATTATAGAACGAAAGAGCTGGATCTTGGGGGAAAGATTGTGATTCCTGGTTTTATTGGTTCCCACGCGCATTTCATCAATGGTGGACTACAGGTTCTATAGAAGCCCATTAGAATGCTTTCACTCCCGCTTTCTTTACGGGCTGTTTTCTGTCAAGTTTTCTCATGAACTTTCTTATCGTGGTCTTTCACTGCCAATAGAATTTGTTTAAGACGCTGTCTTTGAATCTTCAAAATAGCTAATCTTTTAGTGTTCAATGCCGTTAGAACTTCATTTGCTAATTTGAATCATGAATATTCTTACGGGGTATTTGTTAGAATTTGCTTTTATGGTTCTATAGTTGTTCAAATCCAATATGTCAAAAATATTCCATTTTGCAACGGTCTAAGAGGTCAGTGCGTGCGTGCGTGATATATTGGCTACCTATCGATCAGATGTTGGTCTGAATTGCGTTCCAAAATCAAGTTTGTTTTGGATCAATCTTGGATGTTGTGGACTAGGAGTTTTGGCATCTAACCGATGTCTGTCTTCTGCTTGAATTCTATTGCTATTTCATTAGCTGAAGTATCCCTTATGTTTGTGAACCTAGTCTTTGTTCCCTGTTTTAAAATACTACCAGTTGGATACAGATGGCACAGGTGGAACTGAGAGGTGTGAACAAAAAGGACGATTTTATTGAAAGGATCAAAGATGCAGTAAAAGTTAAGTCTTAAGGTATTGTGTGCTTGTTTCCTAATTTTAGGAAGTTAGTATAGATGAAACTATTTCCATGAAGATGACCATAATTGTCCATTTATTGTTGAAGTTTGAGCTCCAATGCAAAATGGTTTGCAATTTTGAAAATTGTTTTAGAAGAATCTAAAGCAAAAATGTCATCTAAATTTAAAATTACTGCAAGTAAACAACATTTAAAATGGTTGCAGTTTCACTGTTATGTGACATCTATTAAATCTCATTTCATTAATTATTGGTCTGTTACATGTTGAGCCTAATTTTGGCCATTTAATTTTGGTTAGAATTATATTAAATTTGACTCTAGAAAGCTTTAGTTGCTTCTGTTAAAGTTGGAACCACTTAATAAGCCTTTAAAGGGTTATCTTTCTTCTTTCTTGTGTAATAATACAATAATTAGAGGCTTAAATCAAGATTTGAAGTCTACATGCGTATGTTCATCAAGCAAGAATATATTATATGGAATGGTTTCATAAATGAATTTGCTTCCCAATTAATGTACAATCTATTGAGATTGTTCATTTTGTGTGCAAATAAAGGCTCCAAACAGGGTTCCTGGATTTTGGGTGGTGGATGGAACTATGATCTGTGGGGAGGAGATATTCCCATTGCCTCTTGGATTGATGATTTTACACAAAACAATCCTGTGAGTCATATCTTCTGTTATGCTTCGTCTCATTTGAACACTGCATTGTAGTCCTATTCAAAATATACAACAGGTTTGGCTATCAAGAACGGACGGTCACATGGGATTGGCTAACTCAATGGCACAAAGTTGACTGGGATTATGAAGTTTTCAAAAGATTCACAAGGAGGAACCATAATGAGAACTGCTAATGGAGGTAATGATTTATTATTTTGTATGTAAAGCTTTTCTTTTCCATTCTAGTAGATTCTGTGTTAGATGTTTGTAATTTTAGTGTACATGGATATAGAAGAAGGTAGCTAGAGAAAAGAACAGAGAAGGTGATACATGGGAATTAGGAATATAAGAGTAATTTGAGTATTTAGTATATCTCTATAAATAGGCATTTAGGTTGTAATGGGTTATTATGAATGAAATTAATCTCTCTCTCTGTTCTTCTTCTGCCTCTCCTCTTGCCTCCTTTTTCTCTTCTACCTCTATCAAAGGTATCAGAGCCTCCTCTTTGGCCATGGAGGAGCCGTTGGAGATTCGATCCTCCGGTCGTAGAGGTGAACTAGAGCACTGCCTTGATTTTAAGCAATCTATGTCTCACATTTCACAACAGATGAATGAAATATCGGCTAAGCTCACTCTACTTGTCAACCAGCACTTGTATCCTCCTTCGACAATGACGACATCTGTGTCTACTACCACCATTCCTCCTCCACCTTCAGTCACCAGAAAAACGATCCTCATAGCAGTCACAGAGTTAGGACAGCTGAAGCACGTTTCATCTGTGACTGAATATGCACAGCAATTCCGAGAAATCTTACCGTATGCACACCTTCCAAAGTCCACCGCCATCAAGGTCTTCATCAACGGACTTCAGCCTGAACTCCAGAGATTTGTCCAAGGCTTCAATCTAAATAGTTTAGCTAGCACCATATATATGGTGGATTTTCATGAGAAGTATAGCCAGAAGGGGAAGCAAGACACAGAGAATGATGGTTCAACAAATGTAACTAACCTGGATAATGACTTTGTCGAAGATGAAAAAGACGAACACAAAACTGTAGAGAAGGAGTTCACGATTCAAGAAGCTACCGATGAAAAATTTAAACAATCAGAGCCAGCAAAGTCTACATGCATAGAAGATGCGACAATAATGGAAAACTCGGTGTTTGAGGAATGTGATTTTGTCAAGAAAGATGTGCATTCAACAACACTCATTAGCTCCCTAAATCAAGAATCAGGACAGTGTCTGGTATTAACGAGCCCATCTACACCCATCAACTCAAAGCAGTTGGAGCAGCCGATGCCTCCGACCTACTTAACAAGAGATTTTTGCACTATGCTTCCATCATCAATTTTTGGGCCTTCTCTTCTTAGTATTTCAGTCGGTTTTTTCACCACTTGCTATTATGCGCCTTACACAAGGTAAGCAATCATCATCTAATTTCCGAAATAGAGCACAAAGATTCCTCAACGATTCCAATGGCAGCGGTGGAGTCTCCCTTCCGCATCGGAAACTCGACACCTACAGTTGAGTTCTCAGACAATTCAACATCAGTGGCAAGATACTTCAGATTTCCTTCAGAAAATCTCATCAAACTCATGTCGTTGGTCCTCTGTTGTGTCTTCGTCATCGGTGGAGTTCTAACCATTATACTGCAAAAGAATTCTTGATCGGACGTCGAAGGCGATACAGAGCAGAATCGGGCAGAAATGTTGTTTTTGGTGTCGAGTCAAGCTCACCAATACTCACGCCTTCGAGATCTTCTCTTCTTAGGTTCAATGGTGCCACAATGTTCACCGTCCTGAGTGCATCTCCAAAATCTTCCACATGCTGTCGCTGCTTGATTGGGTTCACTACCTCTCCAAAACTTCTTGGGTCGGGTAGGGCTGTTGAAGACATTGGGTCGAGTGGTGTTCGCAAAGAGATTACGGAATTCGGGTTTTTCGGATTTTCTCTTGGGTCCGAGATCTCTCTGCTGAGTGAAATGAATAGGACGAGTATATAGGGTCATCAAAGTGGTGTGGATGTTTGGGGAAATGGGTTTTGGATCTCTAATTTAGATACGCATACAAGCTTCGCGCGTTCGGATGTTGTGGATCGTGGATTTTCTTTCAAGTTTTTGGAATCTTCTTTGGTGCGGAGGACATGCATTTACTCTGCGTTTCCACGATCAGGTTGCTCCATGCTGCTACTGCCAGGTGTATTCCAGATTTCCTCCGATTGTACCCCACGTGACAGCAAGGGTAATGAAAAAGCATTTAATTTACTTTGGGTGACTAAAGGCAACGAAATTGGGCCTTCCCAAAATGATCCAATAGTGCAAATATCTTTGACTAGTAATTGGAAGCTTGACGTGGGCCTCTGGACAAGTATGCTTCAATGCCAATATATGGGATCCGTTGTTTCAAGTATGATTCAAATGCAATTATGGGCATTTTTACAACATTGTAGCTGCTCAAGTGCCTTCCATGAGTTATATCCCAACAATTCTAAAGTGGGCTTAACCTATAATCAAGAGGAGCTTTGTGAAGTTGGGCTGAAAATGGGCTTATGGTGGGTGAAGTATGGACCTGTTATACAATTATGGATCCTCTACTCGTTGGTTTTTGGAATAAACAATTTTATATGGAGGGTGACAATGAACTTCTATATTGAAGGAAAACTGCAGAAAATCTGGACTTTTGATGTTCATTAATTTTGTTTTTCAATTTTTTTCCCCCTCCAAGCTATAGTAACTTCGGGTCTAGTTTGCAAAAAAAAAAAAAAAAAAGAAGTCCTATTTTAAATATATGTTTAATTTTCTGTTTTTGTACTGATCCTTGAGGTCAAGGATCTCTTTTAGGAGGAAGTATATTGATACATGAAAATTAAGAATATAAGGGTAATTTGGGTATTTAGTATATTCTCTATAAATAGGGCTTTAGGTTGTAATGGGTTATTATGAATGAAATTAATCTCTCTCTTTCTCTCTGCTCTTCTTCTGCCTCTCCTGTTTCTCCCTCTTTCTCTTCTACCTCTATCAGAAGGGTTGAGAGAAGAAGAGAGACGAGAGGCTAGAGAGGGAAGAGATAAAAGAGAGATGAGGACTTATGAATAATTCCAAAATCTATTGATTTGTCTACAACAACAATACAATTGAATATAAAAGTATTTATAGGATCCCAAATACCCCCAACGGCTATTAATTAACGGTTATAACTAACTAATTAATGTTAGAATTAAAAAAACATAGCATTTTGCCCTTGTAAAAGAGCAGTAAAGTGTGATGATCTATTAATCAGGAAAGTGCAGAGCTTGCTGGAAAATAAAAAGTTACCCTGTGATGTCCCGTCATTTTGTTTCTTTGTCCTACTGAGAAACTATGCATACTGTGACCACATGAATCTCAAAAATTGGTAACTTGAATAATGAACTCAAGTTATTGCATTTTAATGATGTTTTGGGAGTCATGTGACTATCAGAGTTGGGAAATTAAAGCATATGAGTCTTGTTACCATTTTAATCCAAATGTTTCACTGGTTTTCTCCTTGGCAAGTTATTACTCTCCTGTTTGACAGTCTTCTTAATGTATAACGTATTTGTTAATGTTCATGCTGCATATTTTAGTGTCTTTATCTTGTCAATTCATGAATTTATCCCAATTTTAGTGCTGTAAATTTTATTTCAAGAATATTTGTCATTTAATACCATGTTATTACAGATTATTGCATTGAATTGTTGTTACCTTGCAGAAACAACTGGATTGCTGATTGATTCTGCAAGGAAACTTATTGTCTCCCACATTCCAGAAGATTCAGCTGATGACAGGAGAGAAGCATTGCTTAGAGCAAGCAATCTTGCATTGGCAAGGGGAATGACAACGGTTGTTGACATGGGAAGATATCTTCCAGGGGGGTAACCAGATCTTTCTTGGGAGGATTTTTCAGGTTTTATTGTAGTTTTTCAATAGTGTAACTATTTCCCATAAAGGAAAGACTGTTGAAAACTTTATAAAAATGGAATTAACATGCAGCTATGCTGTACTGAATACTGAGCTATGCTTCAGAAAACATGATGATTAATCCATTCAAATGCAGCAAAACACAATGGATTGAAGTTTATGAGACATCTAGATTCTTGCATAATTTTACTTGCACAATACCTTGAGCTGGTAAAGAAATATCTTTTTACCAGTGGAGAAAAGAAGAAACATGAGGTGATACTATATCTAAAGATCTTTAGCGTGGGATGACCTTAATGAATTTTTTTTCTTTTTTCTTAATTTTTTTGGGTAAATTTTGCAGATGTCTATCAATGGGCAGATTCATTGTTGAAAATGAAAGTTCGAGTTTATCTATTTTTTCCATTGGAGACATGGTCACGTTTAGCTGTATGATTCTATTCTCACTTGTACTTAAAGCTTGTTCAATCCTATGTTTAGGATTAGAATTCATGGTTGTATGCTCTTTTGTAAGTCCTCAAAGAGGTTCTGCTAGTTCTCATCATCCTCCACCACATGCAGTATAGATTGCAGAGGTTTGTAATTCTAAAGAATGGCAGCTGAAGTTCCTCAGAATAATATAGATATTACACGATGCTGTTTTGGCACAGCCATGATGTATATGTACTATGTGCCTTATTGTCTCCTTCGTTTTATCCACCTTCTACCAGAGTTTATTCCTCCTTTTGTATTAATTTAAGAATCAATTGAATCTTTGCATTTTTTTTCCCATGCTCGATACATTTATTAGTTTTCTGTTAAATTCGTCTGCTTGTACTAACTTACATTTAAATGAACTTCATTACTCATTGTTATCTGAAGTCTCAATTTTCCTGCACAGGATCTTATTAACAAAACAGGCCATGCCCTGAGCCAATGGTTATACTTGGGTGGTGTCAAAGCGTTTGCTGATGGGTCTTTGGGTTGCAGTAGTGCGTTATTGTATGAGGTGAGAACTGAGTTTTCAAAATTTTCCATATACCGTTTCCATTAACCAAGAATATGCATTTTAAGATGTACCTTTACTGTTGAAAATCTAGCACCTGGCTTTACCCTGCTCAGTAAGTCCTGTATTTGTGATTGCTTAGCATGATATTTCAAACTTCGTAGCCGTACATTGATGGGCCTGATAACTATGGCCTGCAAGTGACGGATGCTGAAGTTCTTCTCAATTTGACCTTGAAATCAGATCTGTCTGGTCTTCAGGTGCTTTATTCTTTTTGTTATGACAAACCTTATTATCAGTTCATATGAAAGCTTAGTTACTGGCTGGAAGCTTTGCTTTTATTTTGTTTTAGGTTGCAATTTATGCTATAGGGGACAAAGCAAATGACCTGATCTTGGATTTGTATAGTTTAGTAGCTTCTACGAATGGAATGAGAGACCGAAGATTCAGGGTATTGCTTTCACTAGATCATGAAAATAAAAAAATAATTTGTAGTTTACTCATTGCAAGTCGAGGATTTGGTAGCTTTAACTATATATTCATTCTATATGTTTTAATATGCTTACCATGAAGCAACTGAACCTCTATTTTCAGATTGAACATGCCAAACATTTGGCATCTGGAACTCCCAGTCGATTTGGCAAACAAGGAGTCATTGCATCTGTACACTTTTTTTTTTTTAACAATCATCTTGTGGGCTTTTTGTTTGTTTATTTACTTGCTTGTTTTAGTAAAATAGGACAAATAAGTTGTAAGATTACTGGAATGGCCACAGACACTAATTAAAATGAGGTCTGAGTAGCTATTTTCGCTTCTTTCTGGCATCCTATCTTTAATATGCTATCCAATTTTACTGTTTCTTTGGAAATCAATTTGACCGTCCTACAAATATTTAGAGCATAAAAGTAAAAGTAAATTAAGGTGACAAATAGAAGCATATCTCGGGCGGAGAGTCAGCATTGTTTAGGTGACATAAAAGGAAATCAGACCTAGTTTAAGTTAAATGTTTTAGCCAATGTCTACTTTAGTATTGTTTAGGTGATATAAAAGGAAAATAGACCTCGCCGAAGTTAAATGTTTTAGCCAATGTCTACTTTCCAAATCTACATTTAGATTTAGTCCTTAAAGCTGCATAATGGCAGCTCTTGAGCAAAAACTGTTACGAACTACAATTCTATATTTCAGGTTCAATAAAAATACTATGCGACAATTAAGCCGCAATGAGCATTGTAAGATTGATATTCCAATAACCCAGTTTGATGCTCACTTATCCAAGCTGGGAATGATTGATATATATATTTCCCAGCTTGGCGGGGGAATATGGAAGTGTTGAAGTTTTACTTTATTTTTTGTAGATGTAAATAGATTGGAATTACCATCTAACTCTTCCTGATCAATTTTCTACTGAAACAGATGCTTCTTGACTCTTGAGATTGCTAATCAAGTATGTTCATTCCTTTCTTTGAAAAAAATGATATTTTAAAATGCAGAATTCAGAACTCACAACACCCTTTTTCATTTCATTACTCTGTACCCCAAAATCGTGGTTGCCTTGTTTCTTTTCATCCATTTGGCTTATTAACATCTTGACCTTAAAGAGGCGTAATATAAACCTTTAATATGGATTGTATCCTCTCCTTAAGCAGTATGTTGACAAGGTTTTTTTCCCCACTTCATGTTAACTAATCAACAGCCAGATCACATATTAGATGATGCTGAATCTGCTGGCAGAAAGCTTGGCAACGATAGGGCTGAAAGGGAGTCGTATTTATTCAAGTCACTCTTAGATGGCAATGCATTGCTGGCATTTGGTTCTGACTGGCCAGTAAGTACGGGGCGTCCATTAACCTCCCATAGCTATGCACATGTTCCCTTTCCTTGTAGCACAGTATTTATTTTAGGACTTTACAAACTAATGTCTATATATTTTGCAGGTGGCAGACATAAATCCCTTGAATGGTATTAAGACAGCGTTGACAAGAAGGCCTCCCACTTGGGAAAAATCATGGATTCCATCAGAGTGCATTTCAGTAGAGGATGCAATAAAGGGGTAAGCAGCAGTTGAAGCACTGTAGTTCTGAAAATTTTATATGGCTTGTTGATATGTTACCTCTATTTCATCTGGTTTACATGAGCAGTAGATTTTTCTTTTTTTTTTCCCCCGTTTTATTATTAATATAGATTGCCATAGTTATGACTAATCAATTCAAGCGAGTTTCAACATGCTTGTGCTTGTTTGATTAATTTCAAATTGGTAGAGTGGTGTTCTATGGTATCA